TACTCATTATCAGTCATTTTGTACAGTGACATGGACTGATTTCCTTTTTTTTTTTTCTTTTTTTTTAACGTCTGATCTGGAGTTTTTTTTTAGGTTGACATTTTTTTTTATCAGTTTTAATCTGGTAAAAATACATATAAGTTTGGAACAATAATTTTATTTAACACACACACAGAGGTACCAGTAATTCACATTATAAATCCAAAATAATATATATTGTTTTCTAGTTTCCCACTGCTGAATAAAACCAAAAATATCAAGGTCATTTTAAAAAGTATGAGCTGTTTTTATTTTTTAGAATAATAAATAATGTATTGATTTTTTTAATCTAAATACTTTACAACAAGCAGAATATATATATATATATATATATATATATATATATATATATATATATATATATATATATTTTTTTTTGCGCTGAACAAAATTATAAACGCAACACTTTTGTTTTTGCCCCCATTTTTTTATGAGCTGAACTCAAAGATCTAAGACTTTTTCTATGTACACAAAAGGCCGATTTCTCTTAAATATTGTTCACAAATGTGTCTAAATCTGTGTTAGGAGCACTTCTACTTTGCCAAGATAATCCATCCACCTCACAGGTGTGGCATATCAAGATGCTGATTAGACAGCATGATTATTGCACAGGTGTGCCTTAGACTGGCCACAATAAAAGGCCACTCTAAAATGTGCAGTTTTATCACACAATGCCACAGATTTTGCAAGTGCTGGATATTCAGTTATTGGTCAGTTATGATGCCAGGAGTCCTCTGACCTGCTCCCTTATAATGGAAAAAAAATGTGTCCCACCAGGCTCCAAGACTCCCTACTGCTTTGGTGATGTACATATGGTTTCTGCAGCTCTGCAGAGCATAATCTGGCTGATCTCAGCCAATTAATGAAACTCTGTGCATGGAAATATGCAAAGGATTGACATTTGCCATCAAGGAACGTTAGTTCCGGGCTGGCTCATGACACCCCAATGATGCTTCCAGAAGTAGAGTTACACATTGAGCAAAAAAGATGTTATACTCATTATGTTTCATTGCGTAATTCTGCACATACAAACTCTCAAAGTCATGGTGCTTTAGTAACATTTTAACTGGGAGATGTCATGGCACATTGAGCACTCAGGTCTCTAGAAGTTACACAGTAAATAGGCACTGAGTGCCATATCAGAGGGCATGGTATGTAAGGAATCAGTCCTGCCATTGTGCGTATGTACTATTGTACTGTTGAATCTATAGCTGCAGCCACTATCAGTGTGGGTGGAAAATTCATTCACTGTTCCTCATGAATGAGACTGCTCCCGAGTGTTCAACCATGTATCCTATAAAAGATAAGTGTCAAGCTCATTTTTTCTGGAGGGCCAAATTGTCTAGTGAAATAGATATGGAGGGTCGAATGTAAAATGTATATACGCATACTAGAGAAAGGTCACTGTGATGTGCTTTTGCTTCCTTAAAAAAGGCTACAAAACCATCTTTGGTGTGCCCAGTATTCTTCTATTTCTTCAATGTACTAAATTAAGTTGATGGCCGCTCCAGTCCCATGATCACCCTCTGTTCTTGAAAAGCCTAATCCTCATATCGTGAGTGCAACTCCCATATAGATCTCTCTTTATTGACCAAGACACAGGTACAGAGAGTCACTGACAGACAAAAAGACAAATGATAACAAAGTAACAAAGACACTGCCAGAGAGATTGAAACTCTGAAAGAGATGCAGAGTCACTGACAGACTTCACAAAGACACTGAAAAAGACACAGACACACATAGAGACACACAATGACAAAGACACTGTTAGAAACAAACATGAAGGTACAGATACACAGAAAGTAATACACACAGAGAAAATGACCCCCACACACACACTGACCCACACAATGACACGGATCTTGATCCCCCCAAAACACTGATACACAATAACACTGTCACATATCCTGACCCCCCACAAACCCTGACACAGGCCCTGAACCCCCACAAAACTGACACAGACACTGGCACTGGATCCTGGTGGCAGATGGAGCTCAGAATGTGTTCTCTGGCTCTTTTTTTGACATTCTCCCATTCTTCCACTCTCTTTGCATGGCTGAGCATGAGGGGGCAAGACAGCTTCCAGCAGCAGCGTCACTCAGTGCCATTTCTACTCCTTTCACTATGCTACTCCCTATGATTATAAGATGGGGCCACAGGACTTGAGGCACCTTCTCGGAATGACTCATTATCAAACTTTCCCACTTGGGTGTGGGCCCTGAACCTGTTGGCACGCCAAGTCTCAGGAGGGTACACACATTTTTTTGCTGAGGGCCAAACTCTTGGAGTCCGTATGTTTGATGTCTCTGCAGTAAAACACTGTAGTGCAGGATTTTATAGGACATGCCTATTGAAAGTCACAGGGAAAAATATTTTGTTTAGAAATACTTTTTTAATCTACATCTGAATGAAGAAACCTTGACTGGTACAGATAGAGCTGGTCTTAGTATAACAATAACTTTTGGTCAAAAAGGCTTTTGATTAGAGAGGGAAGTCTTGTAAATATCCAAAATGATCTATCCTTTAAACTCTTGAATAATGGTATGATTGAACAAGTATGACATTATTAGGTTTGAAAATCCATGCTAAAGTTTGTATGATAACTAATGTAGTACCAGTGGAGACTTTTGACAGGCCATATTTTGTTTTGTTTTTGTTTGTTGCTTGTCTCACTCTCAGCTATTAAATTAGAAGATGACTGGAGTCTCCAAGAACTTTAATAACTGAATAAAGTAGTTGGTGTCTACTTGTGCAAGTAGAAGGCTTTTATTTTAACGTCTTCTTCTATGAAAATATCTAAATTGATTAACTACTACTAGTTGCACAGACCTAAAGTACTCCCTGATGTTAAGTACAAGCCAGAAGAACAATTTAGTGTCACACCAAGCAGAATGGAATATTTGAAAAGAAAAGGCTAAAGATTTAATTTAGGTTTAGAGAATAAGCTTTAAAAGAGGAATGAAAATCAAGCTCCAATTTCACAAAGCTACTGTTTTGTCACTTATCGTGGGCAATATTACCCAGTATAGGAGCCATTCAATCAAAGTGGCCGTCTGATAACTTTAACTTTATAAATAGAATGATCCGTGTTTTAATATGATGGAGGATATGTACTAAACCATTCAAAAAAGAAGACAAAAATAAAATAATGGCATACAAGGAAAAAGTTGTAATAACGGATGTTCCTTCTAATTTACTTAAAGTCAATAAAACAAATCAAATTATGCGACTGTGATAAAGAATGAATAAAACTATTGTCAGCAAATAGTGTATTTAAAGAACCATGAGAGGTCAACTAATGTGCTAAAGTAATCTTAGCTTGTGAATATATTTACAGGGATACAACATTTACTCATTACACATCACTTTTGCTTAGCAAATTACAGTTAGTTGTAAATAAAATTGTTTGTTAATGTCTATGGTGTTTTACACCATACCATGTTTGCAAAGTTGTAATAAAGGTCAATATTACACAAAGAGTACTTGATTGCTTGCCTCAATGACATCTCATTTTTATTTACTTAATTGTTTTGCAAAGTATATTTGACACAACAATATCTACTTTACCATATATCTATGTTTTGTATTTAAGCACCTTTAATCAACCTTGTGCTTCATTGCACTTGAACTTGAAGTACATTCCATAGAGCGTAGCAAAACAAATCACAAGCCTGCCTGGGAACTGCACAGTCTACCCGATAAAATAACACTGACACATTAGTGGTGATAAATTACTTTAATGCTCTTGAGAACCCATTAGAAGCTTAGTATTTTTGTTCTCTGCACTTACATTGTATAGTTTGCATTGGCCATGGTATTAATTTGTCTTCTTTCTTTCTGTATTATTTCAACTGTACACTTTCATTACAGATAGTCTATTAGTCTGTTTGATAACACATTTGAACTGTCTATTCCTGTCTCTGGTGCTTAGAACATAATATGTACTATTCTCAATTCTTATAGTTCTGCCCATGTTTGACATGGCACAGTTAAGAGTTAGGGATTTGACCCAGACCAGATTCCTTTTGGGTTGAGCAGCACACTCTTCAAATCCAGGTTCTCCCTTGGAAGTGTTCAGAAGAATGCATACATCTCAGTAGAGTCTCTGGAAACAGTTTAAGTAGATAATATTGTAGTTAGTATATTCATCACTAAAAAGTTTTATTTCTGGTCAGCTAAATCATAACACGCTCCAAGGACACCACATACGTAGTCTATGCACATGACCACCTTTGTCCTCCCTCTTCTTAGAAGACTATCCTTACACCCTCCTATTTTATGAAGATCAAACCTATTACATCGCCCAAGATAAATGTTAGAGCTATAATTCGTTATATATACTTTCACCATGTTATTTGCACAAGCTGTCCATGATGTTAGTTAATAGTTGTCAGTATCTGATTGGTAAATAATGAAACTGCCACTAGACTCCCCTTTATTATGTGTTATTATAAACCTTTGTTCTGTTTAATAAGTAGCAGACATTTTTCTAAATCGACCCCTTTGTATAGTCTCTCAAAAGTGTCTCCAAGTACTTGAGGTGTGGCACAGTCTGGATAGAACAATACTATAATGTCCATGACAGAGGTCTGGTTATCATCTAAGAGTATGTTTGCTCACAATCTCCCATGTAAAAATTACACCAATTTTGGAGTACTTTGGCCATGTGGTTGGGTTAACACAGCCATATAGTATAATTAAACCTACACCTATGGATCTGCTACATCCATCACAACTGCACTCTTCTGTTCTTTGTCTACCACCATGATATCAGGTTGGTTAACCAGTATTTGCTTGACTGTCTGGATCAGGAAGTCCCACAGGATCTTAGCCCTGTCATTCTCAACTACCCTTTTTGGTATCTCCCATCTGGAACTAGGCAGGTCCAGACCAAATTCTAAGTAGAGATGTCGCGAACCATCCGCGAACTTCTCGCGAACGGTTCGCCACGAGCTGTTCGCGGTGAACTCCGGTCAGCTGACACATCCCGGCCAATCTCCAGCAGACCCTCCCTCCCAGACTCTCCTACTTCCTGTACAGCATCCCTGTACAGGAAGTAGGAGGGTCTGGGAGGGAGGGTCTGCTGGAGATTGGCCGGGATGTGTCAGCTGACCGGAGTTCACCGCGAACAGCTCGTGGCGAACCGTTCGCGAGAAGTTCGCGGATGGTTCGCGACATCTCTAATTCTAAGCAGATTGGTTGTATCTCTCAGCATATGCTGTTCTTGCTAATATCTTGTAAGTGGCCACTATGTACTGGATTGTCTCAGAGGCCTCTTTGCACATTCTGCACCTTGGGTCTTACCCGGTGTGATAGACCCCCGCTTCTATTGATCTGGTGCTGAGTTAATGTTACTGTGCCTCAATACTGTCTTTCAGTCCTGCTTTTTCAAACCACTGGTAGGATTTTGTCATGTGAGCCACATCCACTATTTACACACATATATATACAGAGTGATGGGGAGAGAGAAAAAAAAACAATCAAGCAGTGCAGGAGGTGGTTTTAGAAGAGGGGATATAAAAAAATTACACAGAATAAGAATGCATGGATCCACATCTTAGAATCCAGAATATGCATGAAGGCCTGTTTACAACCTGTACACACATACACACACACACACACACACACACATATATACATACATATATCCACACACATACATATCAAGAAATACATATATACAAACACATATACATACATACATATAAATACACAAATATATATGATTGTACACACTTGTACATCTATAGACAAGCACCAAAACATGTACCTACATAAGTAAAAATGTGCACGCACATACATAAATCCATATACATGCATATGCACACATAAACAAACATATTTACATATGTACATATATACAAGTGCACACACACACACACATATATATATTATTACTATTTATAAAGTGCCAACAAGTTCCGTAGCGCTGTACAACGAGTGGATTAACAGACATATATTTGTAACCAGACGCGTTGGACACACAGGAACAGAGGGGTTGAGGGCCCTGCTCAATGAGCGTACATGCTAGAGGGAGTGGGGTATAGTGACAGAAAAGGTGAGTGTAGGGTAGAAAAGTAGGTTGCTAGGATAGTGTTCATTGAGGGCTTAGTGTTTTGTTTTCATGACAGTTTCAGGAGAGGAATCAGGGTGCGGGGTGGAAAAGCTTTTCACAGTTTAATTGATATGCTTTCCTAAAGAAGAAAGTTTTCAAAGATTTTTTGAAGGAGTCAATATACACATACATACACATAGATACACAGATATATACATACACACTATGCACCAATGCATATACCTACATATGTACAAATGTGCACACAAATCCATATGCATATGCACATATAAACAAACATATTTACATATGAACATATACACAAGCACACATATACACACACACATATATATACAGTATCTCACAAAAGTGAGTACACCCCTCACATTTTTGTAAATATTTTATTTTATCTTTTCATGTGACAACACTGAAGAAATGACTCTCTGCTACATTGTAAAGTAGCAAGTGTACAGCCTGTATAACAGTATCAATTTGCTGTCCTTTCAAAATAACTTAACACACAGCAATTAATGTCTAAACCTTTTGCAACAAAAGTGAGTACACCCCTAAGTGGGAATGTCCAAATTGGGCCCAATTAGCCATTTTCCCTCCACGGTGTCATGTGACTCGTTAGTGTTACAAGGTATTAGGTGTGAATGGGGAGCAGGTGTGTTAAATTTGGTACTATCACTCTCACACTCTCTCATATGGGTCCCTGGAATTTCAACATGGCACCTCATGGCAAAGAACTCTCTGAGGATCTGAAAAAACAAATTGTTGCTCTACATAAAGATGGCCTAGGCTATAATAAGATTGCCAAGACCGTGAAACTGAGCAGCAGCACTGTGGGCAAGACAATACAGCGGTTTCACTCAGAACAGGCCTCGCCATGGTCGAAAAAAGGAGTTGAGTGCACGTGCTCAGCGTCATATCCAGAGGTTGTCTTTGGGAAATAGACATATGAATGCTGCCAGCATTGCTGCAGAGGTTGAAGGGGTGGAGGGGTCAGCCTGTCAGTGCTCAGACCATACGCCGCACACTGCATCAAATTGGTCTGCATAGCTATTGTCCCAGAAGGAAGCCTCTTCTAAAGATGATGCACAAGAAAGCCCGCAACCAGTTTGCTGAAGACAAGCAGACTAAGGACATGGCTTACTTTATCTATGTCCTGTGGTCCGATGAGACCAAGATAAACGTATTTGGTTCAGAAGGTGTCAAGTGTGTATGGTGTCAACCAGGTGAGGAATACAAAGACAAGTGTGTCTTGCCTACAGTCAAGCATGGTGGTGGGAGTGTCCTGGTCTGGGACTGCATGAGTGCTGCTGGCACTGGGGAGGTACAGTTCATTGAGGGAGCAATGAATGCCAACATGTACTGTGACATACTAAAGCAGAGCATGATCCCCTCCCTTTGGAGACTGGGTCACAGGTAATTATTCCAGCATGATCCCAAACACACCTCCAAGATGATCACTGCCTTGCTAAAGAAGATGAAGGTAAAGGTGATGGACTGACCAAGCATGTCTCCAGACCTAAACCCTATTGAGCACCTGAGGGGCATCCTCAAACGGAAGGTGGGGGAGTGCAAGGTCTCTAACATCCACCAGCTCTGTGATGTCATCATGCAGGAGTGGAAGAGTATTCCAGTGACGATCTGTGAAGCTCTGGTGAACTCCATGCCCATGAGGGTTAAGGCAGTGCTGGAAAATAATGGTGTCCACACAAAATATTGACACTTTGGGCCCAATTTGGATATTTCCACTTAGGGGTATAGTCACTTTTGTTGCCAACGATTTAGACATTAATTACTGTGTGTTGAGTTATTTTGAGGGGACAGCAAATTTACCTTGTTATACAGGCTGTACACTTACTACTTTACATTGTAGCAGAGTGTCATTTCTGCAGTGTTGTCACAAGAAAATATATAAAATATTTACAAAAATGTGAGGGGTGTTCTCACTCTTCTGAGATACTGTACATACATACATACATACACATAGATACACTTACATGCATTTGAGTATGGGAAAGCATATGTCTGTACATAATATTAATATTATTTACTAGGTGCAAACAAATTCTGCAGCACTGTACAATAGCTGGACTAACAGACATGTAATTGCAAGACGAGCTGGATGCCCAGGAACACAGGGTATTGAGGGCCCTGCTTAAGCAAGCAGTTCTAGAGGGGGTGGGGGTAAAGTGACAAGAGTTAAGGGTGGTATGTATTTTTATCTTACTGGAATAGTTTGTAGTGAAGGCTTAGTTTATTAGATGATTTAGATATTGCTATAAAAATAGAAAACATGTCACTAGAATAAAGCTAAACATGTGGGTATTTCTGATAGAAGAGTAAAATAATGGGGGGGGGGTCATGTAAAATGTTAGTATATGGATAGGAAACCCAAATCAACATTTGGTCCTCTATTCTTGTTGTTAACAAATTGAATTGTTACGGTACCTCCAGGAACGAAATGTACAAACCGCCGTTTAGCGAGTATTCCCCGTTCGCAATAATGTGGTCGGGTAGCGGGTATAATAAAACCAGGCGAACCGCCAGCCAGGGAACACTCCAAACTCCCGAACGGTACCTGTACGGCTAATTCCCTTCGCAAGCCGCAAATCCACGAACGGCAATTAATAACCGAACGACAATATCTCCCAAGCGGCAAATAATCCAAGTAAGCAGTCTCTCGCCGCTGGTATCCAAATCCCCCCAATAACGAGACCAAGCTCCGCTTTGAGGGTAAAACACGAACTGGTTTACTGTGGGCTACCTGCCCGGTATTTATGCAGGTCTCCCACTTGGTGGACACTCCCCTAGGGGACCAAATGGGAGACTGAAATCACAGAGGGACATGGGGACATTCTGGACATACATCCCCACAATATTCCCAGCATGCAGTACAGTTCCCTCCCCTCTGCTCGGGGGATAATTGGGAAGTAATTCAATTATCTCCCCGAGCAGAGGCAATCGCCATTTTAGATACAAGTTACAAAAACACACAAAAATCCATAACTTAATAACTGCTGAACATTTTACATCAGTCTTGCATATCCCCAGATAGCCTGGATCTGAGGGCACATTATTGGAGAATAGCGCTCAGATCCCATTCGCACAGTTCAATCGCCATGGAGTCAAAGTCTCTTTCAGTTCTTCGGTATGCGATTGACTCCATGGGACGGCTATCTGGGTTAAGTCCATTCGTGTGGTTGAATCTCCCGAACGGCTGTCGTTCGCATGCTTTTGTCAATTGAGAAGGGGAGGTCGACGGCTTCAGCGGTGTTCGGCTGAAAAAGTGTCCGTTTTCCGATCCATGAAATAATCGTTGAACACCGCTGGTCGTTCGCATGGACAAAATGGCCGCCGCCTCGTGGTCGACATACGAACGACGACCACCCGGCATTCGGTTTTTAATTGAGAAGTGTCTGTGGTTAACCGCAACGTTCTAATTGGGATCAATAGGTTAACCAGCAGCACACTTCTCTTCTGGGTGGCCGTCCGTTCGGTAGTTCCGTTCGACAAAACCGACATTCTCTTAAACAAAGCATACGAACGGGGAAATTCATGAAAACGGTAAAACAGACGAACAACGCAGTTATAATCCAGACAGATGGGTCTGTCACATGAATCATTCTGGTTTCAATTTTTTTTTTGGGGGGGGGGGGGTTTTAAATCCCGTTTGAGCACTTTGATTCCTTGATTGAGTGGTCAGGCTGAGTAAAATGATGTCCCACAGGAGTGCAGTAGGATTCCTTTTTGTGGTGGTGTTTAATGGAGCAATTTCATCCTGCTATTTAATTGCTGGCTGGTTTCCCGAATGTAGCATGCTAGGTGGCATTGGTGTTTTGAATCATGTATACTACATTGCTGGATGTGCAGAAGTATGATCATTTAATACTGTAGGTTTTATTGTTGTGGGTGGTTGTGTTGCCTGTCCATATGTGCCGGCACAGTTTGCAGAGAGTCTTTTTGCATTGTCTGGTACCTTTTCTTTATTCTTCAGATCAATGGGTAGGTTCCTTTTGATTAATTTTTGTTGAAGGTTTGGTGGTTGTCTG